CCTTTAAAAGAAAAACTCTTGTTAAAACATTTGCTGACTTTCGGTTTACTTTGTGTTGCTAATCCCAGATGAATAACGTAATTATTGACTTTCAGATCTACCCTACTTAAGGAGGTTTATCTGATTTGGAATTGACGAATAAATATTCATAAAAAAATTAATATAAGCTTATTAATATGAAGAAAATCCTCAAAAAAAAATTATGACTAGTTTGGATACCTAAGAGACGAGATATTAATAAAATAATTTTTCACGATTTAGAACAGGGTCTTATGAGAATGCAGCTTTTTTTAGTTTTTCGACTGGGAATGCGGAGCAATTGACAGACAGTTTTTACAGCAACTTGTATAAATAGGAAACCGATATCTTGTAAGATACATAATTTATAATAATTCTCCTTCAAACTGCTGTTGTTGATTAACTTAACGTCCATATGCGTGATAGCGGCAACGCCGCTATTCTCGACGTAGCGTATTATTTGAAATTCGCAGGTGTGACATATGCTGTATATTTCAAGCTTAGGCATCCAAACAAAGCCAGGCAAGTGCAACGTTGCCAAATCTAAAGGCTTATTACTTTAGTCACTGGCGAATGTGCAGAAACTCTCGTTAGACCTTTTGACGTACTCCGTACCCGATAAACCACCTTAATGTAATGTTCCTTCGTTAGTCAAGCTCCCCAGAAAAATCAAATCTTTCTGATTAACTTTAGATTTACTTGATAATTCAATTTCTCTACACCAAAATGGTTGCGATTTAATTGTACACACATTTGTTAATCTTCAAGTCAATGACATTTACAATTAGTTCCCTACAACCTTCTATGAATACGAGTTTATGAAGAAAAAAAGTCGCTTTTGACTAAGTTGGAAACGTTATACTACCTCGTTACCAGTTATAATAAATCTCGAGATGCCCTATTTATTTCTGGCTGCTCGGGAGACACCTTCAGCTCCTATTTCAACACGCGATAATTCATGCTGATCCCACTATTTCATGGGTTCCGCTATTTCCCGTGATAAGAGCAATCCCGCATTATCAAATGAGCCGCAATTCCAGGAGCTAGTTCCTCGCTGTTTATAAATTCGTATTATCGGTGTTCCCGCTACCACTAATGCAATATTTCTTCAGGAGGAGATACCGCGGAGCACGCTTAAGTCGTGTACGTTTTATTAATGTAGCGGAATCCAAGTTACGCCTAGTATATACAGAGAGTACAAATTTAATGGGATTTCAAGAAAATTTAACTTATTCATATTTAAAACATACTATTTGAAGAAATGATTAACATTTATACAGGGTGTATCTAAATAACACCGAAAAAATTCAAGGGGCGATTCTCCGATGAAAATTAATAGGGGTCTTTGGTATAAAATTTTTTGAAAAAACCCTCCCCTGAAAAGTTACGCCCCTCCTAAAATTACAAAAAAAAATTGTTTTTCTTTTTTATCTTCCACGTACATCAAGCTAAAGAAACCAAACTTGGTGAACATTATCTGTCAATAAAACTACACTTTTTGAATTTTTTTCAACCCTGAACTATTTTTGTAAGGGGTTGAAATAATCAACCCCTATGACATTTTTTCTTATAATTTTTTTTTCGATAAAATTTTTTCCTTTTAAAAAATATGTCTAAAAAACCCCATTCATTTACTAACTTTTTGATCTCTTCAAGTTTCTTCGAAAAGTTAAGGATTTATGACAAAAAAAAATAAATGTATTGTAATGTATTTTTAAAAAGATGAGCTGTTTAACGCGAGTGTATTTTGCCGAAAGATCTAGTGGCCTGTTCTTTACAATGGAATCCGTAGAAACAAATGTCAATGTCATTTATTGTCATATTAAATAACATTTTATTAAAAAACACTCAACCAAATAGTTGACCTATGATTCTACTAGGCTAAGAAGTTTGGAACTTAGACTAAAAGTGAACAAATGATGAATAATGTTATAACAGTAACAAAAAATAAAAATCTGTCGGATATTGACAATACAATCTACAAAAAATGTTGAAAATGATTGCCTTCAGCTTCAATACAAGCATCTACTCTTGTTCTCATAGAATTGCGTATGCGTTCAAATATTCCTGGTGAATTTTTTATCGTTTCACACCCTGCTACAATGCGGTTTCGCAAATCATTGATATCTTCAACTGGCCTTGAGTAGATCAAAGATTTCAGATATCCCCATATGCAAAAATCCAAAGGATTAAGGTCAGGGGAGCGGGCTGGCCAATTTACATATCCTCCTCGACCTATCCATCGATTGGCATACACCTCATCCAAGTGACGTCTTGCACGTATACTAAAGTGGGCTGGTGCACCGTCGTGCATAAACCATAAACGTTGCCTAATTTGAATGGGAACTTCTTCAAGAATAATAGGTAATTCTTCGAGAAGATGACAATATGAGTCACCATCTAATCGTCGTGGAAGAAAATAGGGACCAATTAAATGATCGTCGATAATTCCGAGCCACACATTTAATGAAAATTGATACTGATGATTTCCTTCAAAAAAGTCATGAGGATTTTCCTCAGCCCAAATATGATTGTTACGAAAATTTCTAATACAGTCTCTTGAGAAATTCGCCTCGTCAGTAAATAAAATATTTCTTAAGAACTGCGGCGCTTGGCCGATCATATTAATAAGCCATTGACAAAAAACCACACGTGGTAAAAAATCTCGAATCAGTAACGACTGCACCCGTTGGAGATGATAGGGATATAACTGTTGTTCTTTTAAAATTCTAAAAACTACCGAATGGCTTACATTTAGGACACGAGCTATTTTCCTGGTACTAGTTTCTGGGGATTCCTCAATTAAATTAAGTACGGCTTCATCGACAGCTTCAGTTCTAACTTCTCGGCTACGGCCACAGTCATGACTTCTCTTTTCAAATTTTCCAAGTTCCCGCAAGCGTTGGTGAATATTTGTGAACGTAGTATGGTGGGGTAATCTACGCTCTGGGTACTGTTCAGCATAAAGTCTTTGCGCTTCCAATGCATTACCGTTAGCATACCCATATGTAAAATGCATATCTGCCATTTCTAAATTCGAATAGTTAACCATATTTTCGGTTTATTAACTAATATTTTCTACACAAAATCATGAAACTTGTGAAATAGTAAGAAACAGTAACAATAAATGACATTGACATTTGTTTCTACGGATTCCATTGTAAAGAACAGGCCACTAGATCTTTCGGCAAAATACACTCGCGTTAAACAGCTCATCTTTTTAAAAATACATTACAATACATTTTTTTTTTTTTGTCATAAATCCTTAACTTTTCGAAGAAACTTGAAGAGATCAAAAAGTTAGTAAATGAATGGGGTTTTTTAGACATATTTTTTAAAAGGAAAAAATTTTATCGAAAAAAAAATTATAAGAAAAAATGTCATAGGGGTTGATTATTTCAACCCCTTACAAAAATAGTTCAGGGTTGAAAAAATTTCAAAAAGTGTAGTTTTATTGACAGATAATGTTCACCAAGTTTGGTTTCTTTAGCTTGATATACATGGAAGATAAGTTATTTAGATACACCCTGTATATCACGAAAAAGTAAATAAAAGTTTATATTCTTCTAGACCATCGCCAACTACGATTAGCATTTAAAAAATGTATATTTTTTTCATAACTAAATATCACCAATCTCTGGGAAATTCTGGCACTCCTTAAATAGATTTATGCCAAACAAATGACTGTCAAGGACTTTCCTGGAAATATTCTACAATTTTGTATTACATGGAAACTTGTAGATTTTAGATTTATGGTAACATTGTATTTAAATATAAAAATTGTTCTTTGCTCTCCTTCTTCCCTCCCGTTTTTATAAAAAAATAGTTATAGATAGTCTTCGATATTTAAGTTCTATTAAACGACCTCCCACATAACGAATAAACAATTTACAATTTTATATAAACCCTCAGATAACTCAGATTTCTTCGACTTTATCCCATAACACCACTTCCGAATTCTTTTAAGGCGGAAATCGCTCCTTATTTACTTAAGACAGTCCAAACACAAACTTCCAAAGAAACTCAATAAGCCGAATCGAGTAAGCGGGGAGTCTTAATACGGAATCCTTACAAGACACTCCGAACTTCAAACGGAGCCATATCGTGGTACCTTTGTCGGGGCAAAACAAGCAAAAGCGTGAGGCCCTTTCATCGCCGTTATAGGGCACGACGACGTAGTAATAAACTCCGGCAACTCGAAACTACTCACAACGATCCCTGGGTAAGTAGTTCTTGTGGTAATTAGGGCCTAATTACACCTATAAGAACTTAATTAGGGTTAATTATGGTCTCGCGGACAAAAATTTCATTTAAATAAGTATAAGACGTCCCTAAGAAGGGTCGTAGCATATGTGTAGAGGTGTAGATGCGTGTATATGTGCATGCATGTATATCTGTATGTCTGTCTATATGCGTTAGGTCTATATTTGTATGACTACAAAACCATTTGTCTATATGTGTATGTGTATATGTATATCTATGGGTATTTGATCTGTCTATTATGTATAAATATCTATCTGTATTAGACTATATGCATATGAGTCCCAAATTCCTTAGTGACGAAAGACAAGGGAAGAAAACAAATTATAATATTTGTACTATCTATACATTATCTGATATAACTATCTTACATACAATGAATTAACCACATATTTTATGTATCTGTGCAAATTACTTTTAAAAATACCCACAAGGAATTTTCTGCATATTTTTTTTCTAAAATATTTTTGAATGCTCGCAATTTGCAATTACCTAATCGGATATATTTATACATCTGTGAAATGGATTTATCATGCTAATACTTTGATATCAAGGGAATTATTGTATTTAACGGTGTTTGGAAATAACTAAATATAGATTCCTGATTGAGATTTAGGATTTAGTAGATTTAATCAGTGATGATTATTAAATAGTAAGTTTGTAACATACAACACAGTTATTAAGTCGGTTTAAAAATAATCTAATTATAAAAATCTACTTACTGTGGAGTATAATATGAAAATTCCTAAAAGTATTGTTTCCAATATGGTCCACATACCAGACGCTATAGCCTGAAAAAATATACTATAGTTAGAACACTGCCTCGATTAAAATATGGGGTGTATTTAAACGCGATTCAGTGTTTTAGGGGTGAAAGTATATGTTCTCTAGAACATTAAAGACACATAACACTATCTATATGTTTTACATTTTTCTTATTCCGGCCACTTCACCATTTGAATCAATTCAAAATAACATACAACAAAATTAATCCGCAAATGATACGCACGGAATGAAAACAATTATACAACGTTATAAAGCACGTCTTTCGTCGACTAATAGTTTTGTAGTCATGTGCTTGGTTATTCTTCATTTTAGTTTTCAATGTATCGGTTTATAACAAAGTGTCTGCAATACAAGAGGTAATTCGCGAATTTCTGAGTAAAAACTTAGGTTTTATTGGAATCGAAATAGAATTTGTATGGTACAGTGTTGTGTTCTATTAAGTAAAAATTATTATTATTAACTTTAGGAGCTCAAGATTTAATTTCTAGCTACATTCGAGAAAAGAAGTAATAACTTTAATACGATTATAATACCACCGAGTCAGATGCTATCTGCGCATAAAACCGACTTTGTTTGATTAATTTTTTCTTCGAATTTGGCAGTGAGGTCGTCATTAAGCTATTTTTAGAAAAATAATGAAGACATTATTAGGCACCGTCCAAATCAAATATTGTTTGCTACATCAGATAATTCTAGTCTGCCTTGTCGACTTCGTCGTTTATGGATTGAATAAGAAATTGTATTTTATTTTGTTCGTAATTAAATTGATATATTTGTATAGGGTAATTGTGCTTCTGCATTTACTTTAGTTTTACGCTGTTTAAAAACAATTAGCCCTAAGATAACGGTGACACCCATGCAGGACAGTTGTATGCAGAGGATGGCTGTTTTCAGGTAAACGTCTTTCTCCACCGTACAAAGGCCGTTCTGCTCACAAATCTGGCATCCTGCGGGACAAGGCTGGCACCTGCAACAATGAGAAACGTTTGTAGACGGGACACGGTTCAAGAATCAGGCATATAATGTTTTAGAACAGTGTTAGTTTGTCTTATTCAAAAAACTTTTTAGTAAACACACAATCCCTAAACTACAAAACAATTGTTAAAATAGCTATTTACGTATACAGCGTGTTAGAGCTTTAACTGCATTACTTCATTATAACATAGATAAAGTATATGTCTATATTTGTATGTCTATATGCGTTATATCTCTAATATATGTCTATATTTCTAAATATATTGCTAACTTACATAATTTAACTATTTACAAAAAAGATCTATCATGTGGTTAAATGCTTATGTGGCTAAATGTTTGGAGATTTTAAGAATTTTTTACTGGGAAATGGTAAGACTAACATACTTCGTATTTTTTATGTTAGCTGTTCATATAACTTTGTCCAAAGCATTTCTATAGAATGACATTTTGGCGCAATATTAGTTCCCTTCCAATAAACTTTGTCTTTAGTTTCTAAAGTGGTACGTGAGTTCCACAGAGGACAAAGGACTCGCAACCTTCGAGGTCTCTTATTACCCTTACAGTCGTCGATCGCGCCGAATTGTGACAGGGCCTGGGGCTAAGTTTGTAATTTGCAAAGGGCTGTCGCAAATGAAAGCTCTAAATTTGGATGTGAGTGGGTTGGTTCGTCGGAAATATATCAGTATACAGGGTGGATAATAAATGAGGTACATAATTCTTTAGACCGCTCTAATAAAAAAAGAAGTTTATATGAGTTTGTGTCTTAAAAGATCGGGCTTGCGATTTAACGAAATAAAAATAAAAGTAGCGGAAGGCTTTATTTCATTAAAAAAACAGGAGCTTTTGTTGCCTGAAATATTGATTATCGTACTATATTATATACACCTCCCTAAATTTTACCCATATTGCCAACCCTATAGCTGTATCCATAACGGTTTCACGACAATGCATCTCCAATATTCAGTACATTCAGTTAACAATGGCTCCAGGGGTAGGATATTAATTTCGTATAAAGTTCCCTAGAATCGATAAAGTGTAGGATTACGGGCAACAAAGATAGGAATCTGCATACAGATAACGGGTTCTTGTTGAGCTCGGGAACAGTCACTTATAAATGGATTCTACCAATCCTCTAGGGCATTTAATCGTTTAGGAAATGGTGCAAATGATAGAACTTAATCAGTATGTGTAGACAATGTATAATCGAAAGGCTTACGACTGATCAGTAGAAACAAAGTTCTTGATAGCAGTAGATAATAATTTAATAAAAGAGATAAAATATGTTTTTGAAGGGTAGAACTGTCCTTCTGCAAATATAAACATTAAACTTTTATTGGATTTCTGGTAACATATATAAAATGTGAAAGAATATATGGAAATATATTTAACTCTTTCGACAAATTTTTAATGGATTCGCTTATATAATCAGATTAATGAGCATTTAGCTTTTATTACACTCTCACTTCCAAACAAATTACACATACTGCTTCCACGAATTTTATTTAAAATCCGTATCCAAATCGCTGGAGAATCCAAACTCGCAAAAGCTGATTAATGAATTAATAACATTACGCCGTGTTTGGCGAGTAAATAAAAGTTATCAGTTTATTAAAAAGTATCAGGATAATGGGATGTCAGTGATAAGATAATTGTGTTTGTAATTATGTACGATGGAACTGTTGAAGCTCCATCAGAATCTCATTATTTCAAAACGTTATATATCTATTACGGATAGTTTAGTTGTATTGCTGCATGAGATTAGTATTTGGTGTTGGTGAGTTGTCCAAACACCTCATACTTTCTGGATCGGTGAATGGTTGAGTATACAAAACAAGAAAAGTACACAAAATGTTTGTTGGACGTAATTGAATGAATGGTAAACAATAACAGATTAATAATTGTGATATTTGCCCAAGTAAGCAACATCTAGGAATCAGCGAGGGGGAAACCGCTGCTAAAATACTCACTTTCATAATTACTCAAGTATGAATCAAATAATTAGGACAGACCTGGTTAAGGAAAGAGAGATAACGCATACGTTATAAATAATAGTTGTGATATTACTAAAGTATTAGTCAATTATTATTCAAGTTGGTGGTTTCTTTCTCTCTTGGTAAACAGATCAAAATTAATGCAAAAATCAAATAATATACTGTTGTGGTGACCAAAACATTTAAAAAATTTACAAATAGAATACAATGGAAAATTTGTAGATATTATTTTCCCCTACCCACTGTTACTACACTAAAAAATTCAAATTTCACTCAATTTTACTCAATAATGTATCAATTTCTGTCCACATCCCATTGAGTGAAATTTTCTCTCTTATTAGTATGAGTACAACTGAGTGAAACTATTGTATCAGAAATGTGTGAGTTTTATTCAAATATGAGTTACTACTAACTATCAATTGAGCGACTTTTGGCTCTATTCTGAGTATATAAAACCAATTTAGAGTTGACTCTTTCTCTAATATGATTTAAATTTATCTATTATTGAGTCATGCTTTATTATTCTAATCAACTTTCCTTAATAACATATTTCTGCACTGTTAAAAACCAATGCAGTTTATTCTTGAAACATTTTTATATTTACCGATTTTCTGAGCACCCTGTACATGCCAGGTGAAAGTTCTACATGCCAACCGCATTTTAAAGACAAACACAAATTTTATTCTGTAATAAGTACGAAATATTTTACGTGGTTGTCAGTTATTTTCTGAAAATAATTTCATATAAACGTTTGATCGAAACATGCTTCGTTTCCGACATATAGACACAGACTGTTGAAATTAAAATTTTTAAAAATTTTTGTTAACAACTGGAAAAAGTTAAAAATATGAAGGTAAAATTTGAGAAACCGTTTGGAAGAATAAATGTAAATTTTTTGGGGCGATCCCAGTACTTCTTCTTGCACCATTGGCTTTCATTCGAAAATGCCACAATGTTCGTAAATAAAAAAAGGCCATCTTTTTCCTGTTTGCATATTTTGTAAAAAATTCGACATTAATTCTGAATGAAATAGATCTGTTCAATGATTTTCGGAGGATGTACCGTTTTTCACGATAAAAAAATGTATTTCCGGGGAAGAATTCCGGGGAAAAGTCCGGGGGAAAAGTCCGGGGAAAAGTGCAGGTGAAAATTCCGGGAAATCCGGGGAAGGAGTCTGGGGAAAAAGTCCGGGGAGAATACCAGGAAAAAAGTCCGGGAAAAAAGTCATGAGGAAAACTTCGGGGAGAAGGTTAGGGGAAAAACGCCACGAAAAAAGTCCGGGGAAAAAGTCCAGAGAAAAAACTACTTAACTTAACCATACTTGCTTCACCGAAAGTATGGTTAACTTAAAAATTAAAAAAAAATTGATTATGTTTTTAATTATATTCAGATGAATGGCAGAAGGGGCAGTTGCCGAACTTGTGGTCTACCAAAACTTTATAAAAATAATATGTAGAAACTAGAGGACAAAAAATTCCATTAAAAATGTGTAGATAAATTAATTCTATGTATAAAACTACACTTATGTCATTAAGAATTTTTTATTTTAACTCAAATTGAATTAAATTCGATTCGCTAATCACTATAAAAGTAGATAAAAAGGACATTGTTATAGGCAAGTTGACACCACCAAGCGTTGATATACCTTTCATGAGTAGCCAAATTTCTCCAAAGATTATTGAAATATAATGCAAATTAAAAGCGTTCACATAGTAGTCATAAGGTGGTCTAGTCACTTTAAATTTCTTTTCGACATGTTGCACTTCTTGGATTTTAATGAAACTTGGCATGCTGTTGGGCCAGACATAGACAATTATTACATATTTTTTTCAAAGTGGTAATTCAATTAGATCTGATAGAAATCGATTTACAAAATGTTTATTTGCCTTTTTTAATATTTTGTTTAGGCTTGGCCCATAGACACTGATATAAAATGTGTACCACAACACTGCCATTTAGATTTATTTTCTTAGCTTTGAAATTAACTAAGATATATCACTTTGAAAAAAGTCGTCTATTGACACTTTTTTCAAATAGCTGCTAAATGAACTAAGATATAGAGCAAATATCTACTGGATCAACTAGTATTAGCGCCCTCTACAATATAACATAGATTACGATATAGGTTCCTATTGGGGGTAGTTTCGCCATGGAAGTACTGCCAGACCCTTTAGATTTTCAAAAAATGTGGGTAAGTGCCTATTATCAACTGTCATTTTATGAGATGTTTCAGTTGTTCAGGAGTTTATAAAAGAAGAAATCAAATATATACGCTTATATTTCAGAGTTATGTAACAAAGCAAATATATACCAACATAAATATAAATGCAACGTATGAGATTCATATATCCAGCGGTTTTTTCCGGTCCGCGTAGTATCCGTTTTAATCTACCCACGGGAGACTTCCAAGATGCCTCCCCGAGGTCCTTTTAACGTTATTGATGCTCATATTAGACATTCTTTTGTGTGTGCGAGGCCTTGCCAGGGAATCATTTACGTTTTCGTCGAAAAGACATTTTTGGAGTGCTCGTCGCGTTTTAATGGTTCACGGGTCCATTTTGTAGGAAAAATAGGCGGGAAAGGTTGTGCAGGAATTCTCGGGCCACGCATTAAGCCCGGTTTGGTCAAGATATCCATCGATACGGCTGGCAAGGGGTCTCTTTTGTCGCTAACCGTTTGAAATTGCATCCGTTCCTGTCTTTTGTGTTTGTACGTGTTGGATAAGTCGAGAAGATAATAAAAATAGTAGATTACTATTACAACAGCCCATCTAGAAAAAAAAATGTTGTTTTTTTTTTGAAGAAATTCGAAATAAAAATACTGAAAAATATTTATAAAACATTTTGTCTAGAAATATTTTGACAGAATACATATTTACAAATTTTTTCCATGTTTTTTAAAATTGAGACATGAATTAAAAATACTTTAAAAAGTACTTTTAAACTGGTTATCTAGAAATATTTTGAGTTTAGATATTGAGGATGTCAGTGAATATGAAAAT